AAAAAACCAGTTGCTTTTGCGGTAAAACTTGCCACTCTAGACACAGTCAATGGAGTCTGCTTTAGGTCTGTCCTTAAAACAAAGGGACCGTGTCTAGACTGGCCAGTTTTTCCGCAAAATCAGCTGCTTTTGCAGAAAAACTTGCCAGCTGTCTACACTGCTTGAATTTCCACAAGAAGACTGACGATCTCATGTAAGATTGTCAGTGTTCTTGTGGAAATACCGTGCTGCTCCCGTTCGGGCAAAAGCCCTCTTGCACAAATCATTTGCGCAAGAGGGCCAGTGTAGACAGCACAGTACTGTTTTGCGCAAAAAAGCCCCAATAGCTAAAACGGCAATCGGGCCTTTTTTGCGCAAAAGCACATCTAGATTGGCACAGACACTTTTCCACAAAAAGTGCTTTTGCGGAAAAACATCCGTGCCAATCTAGACACTCTTTTCCACAAATGCTTTTTACAGAAAATGTTTCCATTAAAAGCATTTGTAGAAAATCATGCCAATCTAGATGCAGCCAGGGGGAAAGGGGCAGTTGGGCAAATCTTACAGCTCATATCTGGCAGGTGTGAAGCAGGCTGACTCAAGCCCTTTAACCCTTCCCCCCAGCTCAGTTCACTCAACTCTGGAAGCAGGGAGGCTTGTTCCTTGGAGACCTCTTACAATGATGGTGTCTCTCCTGCAAGCACTGGTGCCATGTTTTACAGTTCCCACATTTAGGGGTAGCATGATTTGTGACCCTCACAACAGCCACAAATTATTTACAATATGCCACATTGCATTCCCACACTGATCCTCCATCAGCCCTGGCTGAATTGGATTTACATAGCCATAACTCCTATTCTCCTCCCCTTCATCCCCCTCCCCATGAGCTGTATTTACATATCAACAATTAACAGTTAATTATCTTGAAGAGCTAAACAATTGTAGTGGGAACACCCACACCCAGGGCAGCTCTCTCCTTTTAGCTGGCTGATAGCAAGCAGCAGTTCAGCCCCTGCTTACGTGTGAATGAAATACCACAGCTCTTTCACTAATGCTGCGGATATTGTGGAATACTACAATACGGGTTGCAGCTTCTCCATACTATTCAGTCTTGACCATAGCTTATTCAGGCTCCCAATAAGGAAGCCCATTTTGACTCCATCCCTTGCCCCAGCTGAGGTCTTTCTGCTACACCAAGCCTGTGTTTGGTCACTGGGGTTGAACTTCAGCAAAGTGCATGTTTCTCGGAGCACAAGTGACTACTTGACGCATCATTAATCACACTCAATGGAAAGCCTCTGCTGATGAATGCAAAGTGGTGCATAATAGCAGGAATAATTGGTATCGTTCATATTCTGCGTGTGTTGTAAACTCATCATCCAGGGAAAAGACCTGGGTGTCCTTGTGGGCAGCTCAGTAGAAAAATTTCTCTGATGCAAATTGGCAGTGAAGAAAAAAAAAAGAAGCAGAGTATATAAGGAACGGGATGGAAAAAGACAGAAAATACATTATGCCATGATATAAACCAGTGGCCCTTACCTGAGCTCTGATCAACCCAATCTATAAACAGATAGGCTGCATCTACACTGGCAAGTTTTGCCAGCTGTCTACACTGGCCAGTTGAATTTCCGCAAGAACACTGACGATCTCATGTAAGAAATCAGTGCTTCTTGAAGAAATACTATGCTGCTCCCGTTCGGGCAAAAGTCCTTTTGCGCAAAAGCTTTTGCGCAAAAGGGACAGTGTAGACAGCTCAGATTTGTTTTCTGCAAAAAAGCCCCGAATGCGAAAATGGCGATCGGGGCTTTTTTGCGCAAAAGTGCGTCTAGATTGGCACTGACACTTTTCCGCAAAACGTGCTTTTGCGGAAAAGCGTCCGTGCCAATCTAGATACTCTTTTCCGCAAATGCTTTTAACGGAAAACTTTTCCATTAAAAGCACTTGTGGAAAATCATGCCAGTCTAGACGTAGCCATACAGCAAAATTAGAAAGGCTTCAGAAATAGGCAACAAAAATGACTGGATGTTGGAGGAAAACTTCCATAGGAAGAGAGACTGAAAAAATCAAATGGGTTGGTTTGGAAAGGAGGCAAATAAAGCAAGGATATCATAGAGGTATACAAAACAATTAGCAGTGCAGGAAAGGTTCTATCAGGTGGCTTCATTTCACTATCTCAGATTAAAAAAATGAAAGGCAACTAATTTGTGTGTGATAAAAAGAAACATTGTTTAAACACAAAATTAATGAGTGGAACTCATTGCCACAGGGTGATATGGAAGCTTAAGATCTTTATAGAATTCACAAAAGGATGAGAAATGTATCTGGATAATGAGCACGTCTGCACTAGCTGGGATTTTTAAAAAAGAAGGGATTTAGATCTCCATGCCTCAGGTCATGGTGAATTACTAAATAGCAGGAGATAGGAAGAACATTCCCATGTGGATGAGTTATTCCAAAATCATCCACTGCTGGGCTCCCTGCACCTTCCTTTGGGCAATCTGGCCATGGCCAAACAGCCCATTGGATTAGATGGACACACTGGCCTGTGTGATCCAGTGTGGCAATTTCTATTGCTCATGATTAAGGGCTTAGGAGCATTTGATGTGTGGCTAATGTGGGTCCAATGATAGCCGGGGGTCCATGAGGCACTTGGGTTAATTTTGTTGGCAAGGTTAAG